AACTAGTGCCTTTATTTTTGTTGATAAGGTGATCCATTTGTTATTTAAATTATAACGTGAAAACAACTTTATTAAAATTTTAACTAAAGCTTCATAAAGTATTCCAATATTTTAAATACTTTCTGCTCTACAAGCCATATCTAAGTGTGATCTGATTTTGTACAGGAAGCTGAATGAATCACAGGCTCTGCACAAGGATAGAAGACTTGCGTGGTTCTCAGTGTGCACTGAGGCCATCAGGCTAAACTGTGGCTTTGCTGCAAACAAGGCACTGCTCTGAGAAACAGATGAGGAAACAGATTGCAACTCGCAGACTGACAATCTGCTTGCTGGGTTTCTTATACTTTAGAGGAGAAATATCTTGGGCCAGGCCTATACATGGTGTAGCTGCGCTAAGTAAGGATAAGCAAAGAATGGAGCCATTCCCTGCCACAATCTGCCAAGTGTAGAAGGGGAAAAAAACAGCTCCATGCAGGCTGCTCCGCCCTCCCATGCTGTGTAATGGCAGTAGCCAACAAAAAGCAAGAAGGGGCCAACTCGCCCTTCCCTACCACTCTGTGCCAGTTCACATTAATTCATATTCTATTCCACAGTCCTGTTAAAGATCCAAAGCTCTTTTAACATGTAAAGTTTAAGACGACTAAAAATGAGCATTTAATCAAGAACTATCCGTTTTTCTTTAGGTTGTAACATATTAGTAGGGCAAAAAGGCATGCACGTGACTGCATGTGGCAAAATGATATAAGGCCTCTGAGATACCGGAAAACCTTTAAAGTTATTTTTCCTAAAACACTTTGAAAGAAATTAAGCCTGTCTCTATCCAATAATGAAAAACTGGTTGGTCAATGAAAACATGTTCTGTATATGCAGATAATCAAATTAATCAAATTAAAAATACCGTTTTTGTTAGAAACGCTTTACTCTTTTTATGTGTTACATCATTTAATGTACATTTAAGGATTTGGAATACAGGAATTTAATTGTACATTCTGTTAGAGGGACTGTGGGATTTCACTCTCAAGTTTTCATGTTTCTACTGGAATAATATAAAAGCCAGTGAAATAATTTAAAAATCTGAAAATTCTCTTTGCAATCTATTACACACCTAAAAAACATATTTGTTTTTTAATATGAAACGTAGTTAAGATACTAATGTGTGACAATTCCAGGAAGTGGAATCCCAGAAGAAACAGAGAAAAGAAACTTCCCTTACAGTTCAGTCTTCTAAACTCTGAACGTTTTCTGAGGCGTCTCAAAATATCCTCGTTTCATAGTAAAAGAACAGATCCCAGCCCTGCTCTACTGTTTTGGGTTGGAGACTGTAGCCTATACACACGTGTAACACATCTTTAGATGTCCTAGTGTACCCCACCCAGAATTTAGCTGTATCTCCACAGGGCATGGCTCTTTGTTAAAGTCTGTCAGCCCATGCAGATGCCTCAGAAACTCATGGGCACCTAAAATGCCAATAAATACCCAGATTTAAGCAACTAAATTACTCTAGGCCAGGTGTTTACTGAGGATTATACTTGCTCTAGTATGTTGCAATGCCTTATGCTAACTTTTGCATCTGAGGAATTCACCCTCAGTATATTCACCCACAATCTTTATATTCCAGAGCAAAATATGCAGACTGAGGTAGGGGGCCACAAACTGACCCAGAGCCTTTCAGTGCCTCTCCTGAACTGAAACAAGTTATACGGTCCACACAGTCAAACATCACTGATCTGTTGGCATTGCTTTAGATCAGTTTGGGCATGAGGTCTTACAGAGTATCTATTACAGATATCTGGGTGCATATGACCTCTTAATTAAGCATATACCATTTTTATGCACTTCACACATACTCTGCTTTAAGCATGTGTTTAAATCCTCACAGGAATTCATTCATATATTTATATGTGTGCCTAAATAGCCTTCCAGAACAGTGTTGTTTTCCTGAACTGTTGTCATAATTTAATATAATGACTTGTAAGTTAGAGGTCAGCCCTTTAAAAATTAGGTAATTTACTCTGCAATTAACATCAATGAATAGGTTCAACTATAAAACAACCATACAAAAGTATGGTTGTTTTTTCCCCCAAGTACCATAAAACACACTAAGAGTCAGAAAAAAAGTGTTATAAAAATGTAAATAGGAGATCAGAGCTCAGATAGTTTGTTCCTTGGTTCAGATAACAATCGATGTGTATTTGTCAATTCATGAATATTAAATTTCATTCACAAGGTACATAATTACTGCAAAGCAAATTTCCACCAAAAAAGGCATCAAGCCATGGAGAGTTCAGCCACATAAACTGAGTTGTCTCCAGCACTTAGAAGAAATCCAGAGGAAGAGTGTACTGCTACTAAGTCCAACATATCAGGCACAGTATTAGTCCATTTGTACGCTGAAAGACTTGGACTCTTCCAACCTAATGCTAGGAACAGCATTGCCAAAAGGAGAAAGAAAAAGTAACATGGACCTTTCTCACCACTGCGGGACAGGTACAGTTCTGGGGCACCATTTTAGGAATTGAGCAAAAATTATGATCAATGAAACACCAGGAGTCACTGTCAAACACAATGTCTCCTAAAGATTCTATAAAAAGAAGAAAAATATGTCCCTATATTTTTTCTATTGCTTTCTCTTTATTATAACTTTCAAAAGCAGTTTTTAGTCTAATAAACTGTATGCAGAAAATACTAGTATAGCTCTACTAGTAAGCTACTTCAATTGGTTTTCTATTAAAAAAATCTTCAGATCCCCCCAACCGCAAATTCAAACTGTTATACCATACGATTATGGCTCTTCTACAACTTTACTGTTTTCAGTAAGTGTTGATTTCCTAAACAGGATCAAGATGTTAGTATGACTCCCTTTCAGTACTTCGTTTCCATGTGTTCTGTACCAAGATAGATCCAACCTTAATCTTGCATGTCATTCTGGACTTAATCTGTAATTACTGGCATCAGTTAGATCATGCAACATCTCCAAAAAAAGGAATGTTAAAAGACCTAACACATATAATTCTTTCTTGAAAACGCTTTCTATAATGCATAGTAGCTTCTACTTTGACCATTCCTGGTGAAGTCAATGAAATTGTTAAGATTCCCTCTAAAAAGCATTATGTTCAATAGTGTGTTAGATTATGAATGTTTATGCATCAATCCATTACTGAATTCTTTTTAAATGTATTCAAATAACTTCTTTAAAATTAGAAATATTTTAGCAGCTGTAGCTAAATTTTTACTTTTAATTTTTGAAGTTACATTTACAGAAGCCATAGACATTCTTTATAACATTAGTAAGAAATATCATAAATAAAACAGTACATGTTTTACTTTGCTTTACTTCTCTTTAAGCTAAGTGCACTTCCAGAAAAAAAAGACTAAATACTACTAAAAAAAGACTAAAATACTTCTGAGTAACAAATAATGATTGTCATGACCCATCTGTACATACAAAACACATGGTTAATGTGTTCCCTATACACAAAGTAAATACTGCTGTTCAATAAAAAAGAAAAACACAAGCAGATACACTCCCTCTGGATACATGGAACTTATGATATACAACATGAAAGTAACAGTGCAAGAATATAGCACAGGCACTAGCCCTGAAGAAAGTCACTACACAAATCATGCAGTAGAACTGGATTACAAATGGCTAGTCATTGTACTGAAGTGAACTTCTGTACTTACAAAAAATGGTTATCACATTTTAAGAAGACTCTTATTTTAAATTCAACCAATTATCTGGCATACTCCTTGCTAAGCAGCCTATTCAAGTACAGTACAAAAAGCAATCGCATGGTGTGTCTTGATTTTGGTCAATGGGCTAGTAACTAAACAATGGTGCAATAATTAATTGAACTGGGGCACCACAGAACTTTGGTAAACTATGAATATCTGAACTGTTGCTGTTTACAGCACTAAAACCAGCTTTAAATAGCAAGACTTTATAATAGAGTTTAAACAGGTATAATTTGGACAGTTACACTAAATTTCCTCTAATAGGGAACACTGAAATAATATATTGACAAGGAGGTACTGGCAATAGAATCACAAATATATTTTCATTTAAGCAATTTCCATTTCTCTAGGCCTTTTCTTTCTTTCCAGGAAAAAAAACCCAAACCAAACCAAAAACCCAATTTACTCAAGTTCTAGGTCAACAGTGTTTCGGTTCATTTTGTCTTCTTTTGCTCTACCTCGTGTAGTATTGAACACTAACACTGGACTGCGTGCTGCAGACCTTCTCTTTTGAATATTGTCAAATGTCATAAATGCTTGTGATAATGCTCTTACTTAAGAGCATGACGAAACTTAACATCAAAGCCATGCTGTAGATTGCCTGAGATATGACTAATGACTAAAGTTAAGTCCTTTCACCCAACATGACCAGTAACCCAGTTTCACTCCACTGAACCCAGGTACCTTGAAAGTAATGCTGCTCTTACCTAACCTGCTCTGTAAGTTTTACACCTCCTCTGCCTCGATGATCTCTCATAAAAAAGATTCTCTTTCTTTGTTTTGTAGGCTCATTACTACAGCATGCCTAATTTCCTCTGCAAATGAGGGTAGCAACTATGGGTGAGGGTATGGGGTGAAGCTATGGCTTTTAACACAGAATTCCACAGTGCAATGCCTTGTCTGTGATTAACGCTTCCATCTGTGATTAAAAGTAGCAATTTGAAGATGAAATATCAAAGGAAGGGTAATTAGTATATTGTGCATATTAGCCCAGCAATAAAAATGTAAGTTCTGCACCACAGCTAATAACAGAATGAACAAGTACCTTACAGACGCATTGAAGGCAAGAAATTCAGTATCACTATATTAATAAAATGCCTGCCTGTGACTTCAAACACAGGCACACTTGTACTTGGCTAGAGAGGGAACGATTTATTGTTACTATGAAGGATGCAGGCATGGAAATGAAGATGAGAGGGGCGATGATGATGATAGGGAAGAAGAGGTTAATATCCCCAGCATCTGATGGGGAACGATGTCCCTACCTCAGTAAGCTGGATAAGGGAATAGCTCCAGATCCACTGCCCAGGATCCCTCCTTTCCTCCCCGAGAGGAGTTTCTCCACCAGAGCCACATTCCCAGTGCGAGCAGCTTCCAGCAGTTCCTGGTCCTTCCCCATGGTCAGGAACCAAGCAGCCCCCCACGCACTGAGAGCTACACCCCGGGCCACAGCGGCCCCCTCTCTCCACAGAACGATCTCCCCTCCCCAGACCCTGCCTCAGAGCAGAGCACAGCAGAGCCGAGCCGAGATTCCTGCAGTCCCTTCCAGACCAGCAGGAGGAGCAGCAGGAGGGAGGAGGAGAATCACCTCCTCCTAGTTTCACTGGATCGTTTCTGGGTGGAGTGTGGAAGAGAAGGGGGGGGAGGACGAGGCCAATAAAGAACCTCCCCCCCCGACTCCCATGCACACACCCCGAGCCCCGGCCCGGAGGACGGGGCGGGGGGCGCGGGGC